TAAGATGGAGATCAGATTCCACACTCCACGCATTCCTGTATTTTGTCACAAGCACCGAAAATCCCACTTCACACATATACGTTGTGGCAAACGGCATCAAAAACATTATTGCCTTGTTGGCGAGTTCAGGGTATTCGTTTGACACATGTAACCAGAACTGAGTCAAAGTTTCAAGGAGCTGTCACAGGATAGATCGACGAGGCTGTCCTGTTCCTTGTAGGTGAGTCCCGCAATTACATCCTCACTGTGGTTGGCAAAGGGATACTGTATCCAGCTCTGCTGTTTGCTGATGTCAGGGAAGTAGTCCTGCATCTGAGACTTTAAAGCCTGCATGTGCTCTGTCATAGCAACTGCTGCAGTGACGGGTAGTGGCCTTTCCTCCTTAGACAAAAAGTCGGACACATTTTTGAAGGACTCATAGTTGGCTCTGGCAATTCTTTTCCTCCACAGATAAATTTTCTTTATGGTTGCCTCTATTTTGTTATGCACGTGAAACATTGTTACTGCTGTCCCCTGTAGGGCTAGATTGAGTCCATTCAAGTGGCTGAAAATGTCTGCCAAGTAGGCCAATTTACAAAGCCAGTCGAAATCACAGAGGCGGTCTGCAAGTTCAAATTTGGAATCAATGAAAAATGTTCTGACCTCGTCACGTAACTGGAAGAGCCGGGTGAGCACTCTGCCGCGTGAGAGCCAGCGGACCTCGGTATGTAGTAAAAGCTGGCGGTGTTCACTACCCATCTCTTCACACAAAAGGGAAAACAAACGTGCTTGCAGTGGACGACTTTTAATGTAATTCACCATTCTGACAGCATCGTCTAAAACGGTCTTTAAATCCATGGGCATTCTCTTAGCGGCTAATGCCTCTCTGTGAATGCAGCAATGTATGTGAGTGAGCAGCGGGGCCACGTCTCTGACTCGCTTCACCACTCCACTGTGTCGGCCCAGCATAGCGCGAGCACCGTCGGTGCTGAATCCAACGCACTTTGTCCAGTTGATGTCATTGGAAATTATGAAATCGTTCAGAATGTCAAAAATAGCTTCAGCAGTTGCGTTTGAATGCAGAGGTCTGCAAAAAAAGAAAGTTTTCCTCAATTTCTCCATCACATTCATACCTAACAAATGCGAGCAAATTCGCCATACCCGCGATGTCTGTGGACTCATCGATTTGAATTGCATAAAAACGACTCGCTCGAACTCTGCAAATTAGCTGCTGCACTAAGTCCTGACTACAAGTACAGACATTATCAAACTGCTGAGGTGTTGTGGCTGCAGTCTGGATAACTGAAGATGGAGGCTGTGGCCTGGGAGGGTGGTTTGGAGGACTAGGAGATGGTAGGTGCTGGGAGATGGCAGGCGAAACCTTCCTCTGAACATGAAGGACCTGTCTCAAGCTTAGATTGAGTTACCCCTACTCCTCCATGGATGTCAGTACCACCACTAATGCCATCTGAAGCACTTGTGCCAAGTATTGACAAGGCCTTTTCTTCCTCTGCTGTGAGAAGGGGGAACTCATTGGTCCCACCACCTGTTTTTTTTAATTGCAGTCCTCTGCAGTGCCCTCTTCCTCTTTGGCAGGCTTGCAAAATCCAGCCACTTCTTGTGGACATCCTTGCCTGATCTTTTAACACCCCTGGTTGCTGTTAATTTGGTAGCAATGTCCTCACAGATGTTTTGTTTTTCCTTATTTGTATGGTGTCCTTTAAATCTGGTGAAAATAACATATTTGTTCCGCTCTACCTCCTCTAGAAGACTTTTTTAAAGGTATCTTTTCTTGTTTTTTTTTTTCAGCCATTTTATCAGTGCATCAGCCTGTAGGTAGGTGCTTTATATACAGTAGACTTGTCTTGATTGCTAATCCACATCAGATGATGATTATTGGGTTAAAACATTCAGGATATGATTCCATATAAAGTTATATTTCAGCACTTCGCAAATGGACAGCGACTCTTAAGTAGCACGTAGAATGCGTTCTCGCGCATTCATGCTACTGTAAGTGCATTTTTGGGAAACACAAGTGGAAATGTGGTGTTATCGTTATCGGGAAACCCGGCCCTGGGTTGTATCAGATAAGAGAATGTAAACAAAATAAATATTAAGAGATGCTGTCTTAACCTGGACTATGTTTTATACCCTTGAGATGATATGACATTATTAAATTATCTGGAATGAGTTTATGAGATGTTATGTTATTGTGCAAAACATTAAAAATAGTAAGTAATTTGTTCAAATATCTTTAAAATAGCTATTACAATTATTTTGTCATTGTGTAAATTATTATTTTTTAATTATTTTTTCTTGGATGAAACAATAATAAATACAGAACCCCGGTACAAATGAGAAACCACCTCTGAGCAAACATATACTTATTAAAAACAGAGGAAAAAATTTCATTAATATCTGTAGGCAATTTTGGTAATGGGCTGCAAAAATGATTACACTCTTGATTAAATTCAACAAACGTGTAATATTCTTGTTCTGCCTTGCTGGCAGTGAGTGTACAAATTCATGACAAATTGTCACATCTGTACTGTTTAATTCCTGGAGGATGACCTCCTAAAATGCCCTAATCTGGAGTGTTTCTCAACTTGTTTCTGCAAAGGCGCATTGAATTCAAGTGGCATTCACAGGTATCAAAGCCCCTTCATTCTCTCTCTTTAGAAAAAAATGTGTGTCATGTCCAAGAGAAGCACCAAATTAAACCTTGTGAGATGCTTCAGTACAGCTGGCTTGACTACAGAGAGAGGTGCTACTTCTCTCGCTGTCTTTTCGAATCCCATTCACTGTGATGTTCCCATGTTGTTTAATGTGCCTAATAGCCAAATAAATTAAGTTTATATATCAATTAAACTGATAATTTTCAAAAGCCAAACCCTTGTACAAGGCAGAAGTCTGGTCCAGTTCCACTTACAATCCTCTCTGTCTGTATATGAATGGCTGTCATATTATTTTCTCCTTAGAATTAAGTGTATGCAAATATTACTCAGGGAACACTTGAACACTACAATAATAGAGAATGTACCTTATAAAAAAAATAATAAAATAAAAATTTTGATTGCACTTAAATTGAGGAAGTATTAAAAATGTATTTCAATGTTCCAACATTTTAAAGGAATAGTTTACTCAAAAATTGAGGGTGAGTAAATGATGAAACGTTTCATTTATGGGTGAACTATCCCTTTAGGTGTAAAGTTCCTTTTAGGAGCCAAATCACACAGCCAACAGGGTGAACATTTTTAAATGTTTTGATGAACATACAGCATGTAGTACCAGGTTGGGTGTGAAATGTAGGTTTCTGAAAAGTCCAAAGGAGACCTACTGATGTAATGCATACATCATAACACTGCTCCTGCAATGTTGTGAGAAACCAAAACCAAAAAACTAATTTCTAATTTGGAAAAAAAAAAGTGAAAAAACAACAACAATAAACAACATGTGGGATGGTCCTAAAATAGGTGTTAATACATTACATAACATTACGCATGTGTCTTATTTTTTTCTTTTGATTTTGAAATTTGACCTACAATAGTGATGATTCTGTGAGATTCATCCCAAAAAAGAACAACATACAAGCTCGTAAGTGTACTGTAAACAAGGGGCAAAAGACCCTAATGTGTTGACGCACATTCACATGAGAAATGAACTGCATGTGAAACGAACAACAAGCAAAGGGAGAGACGTGTGCATATGGGTCAAGGACAAGACATCCCAATTTAGAGTCCGCATCAAATACATTTTACAAAGTTGATTTTATATACATAAAGAGAATGCAAGTAAAGTGTCTACTTCAATATTTCCAATAATGTTTGTAAAAAATAAAATATCATATGGATGAAATTGTATTCCAGTCATTCAGCGTAACAGATATTTATGTAAAAATGAAACAACACCTATTCTGACCTGTTCTTATTGTAATATAGTCTATAAAAGAAAAAGTTATCATAATTTTTTTAATATTTTAAATGATTGAAAACTTCTTGCTGGCAAATGGGTAGTGGTTTGAAGGATAGTGACACAGATTGGTAAAGACTGAAAATTAAAATTTGGGTGGGGGCTGCAGTGATATCCTGAAATAGAGTCTTTTAATGTCATCTAATGACTTTGTCTAAATAAGCCTGAAACAATTTGTTGGTATAAAACTACTGTTACGCTGAATGACATTTTAGTGGTTATCTTCTGTAAATCATGGTAAAAATGTATAATAGCCTTTTTAAAGAAAAAATAAATACATTAAAATAACAGGACACATTCTAATGTACGGGAAAAATAAATATGTATTGAACTTTTATTGTTTTGATGCTTGAAAACCCCTTTTGACCCATATATGGTTGAATATGCGTATTTTAAACTGTAAGGTCGAGAGCTCCACGGAAACGTAGAAATGTTTATGACAGCATATCATTTATATCTAACTCCATACCACCAGCGAAACATAACCACGATGTATCCTATTTATAAAGCAAAAGACACGAACATGAAAATCTGACCCATATCCAAGCAACAACGAGAATATGAGATACAAGCATAGGCTATAGAGTACTGTATGTGAATGTATGCATGACGGCAGGCACTGCACGGATTTAATAACCTATCTAGATAATTACAGTATATTCATGATATCCGTGAGATTGAACAGTTTGGGCTAAATTTATCTTCTGATCGACATGTTTAACATTAAATTTGACGTTGGAGGCAGAAGCGTAAAATGTATCAATTCTAAGCCTCACTGGAAATATCAGCTTAATCCATAACTGAAAATAGAGAGGGATGATGGAAATTCTCAAATGCATTTATTTACTGCTTAAAGCCTGTTTGATAGAGATTCTCATAAATTGGCAATATGTTGACAATCAGTTAAACTGCTGTGTACTCGGATATGTTTCGAGTAGGCTAAACAGCAGTTTAATTGATTGTGTGAGGATAAGAAGAACACTGCTGCAGACCGAGGCTATGTGTGTTTTCTTCTTATCCTCACACTGTGTGAAGCACGCGCGCATTCTCACCTGCTCGTGCTGTTCCCCCCGATGAGCACAAACCAGAACATCGTCACGGCAAAACTCTTCATTTTGCGCAAAATTGATTCGGACTGAAAAGAGACAGACAGATTAATATATCCTAATTTCCTCAGCCTCTTAGGAGAATCGCAGGAAAATTATATAATGATCCATGTTTTAGACAGTGCCTTATCCAGACTGCAGAGAAAACGGCACACATAACTCGCTTTCTCTCATAGACAGTTCTCCCTCTCTCTAGTCTAAAGCCTTGAACAATCGCGAGGTCCGTTTCTCGAAAGAATCGTTCTTCTGAGTCGGTTCTTTTGAACGACTTCAAGCCTTTAAGCGTTCTTCAATTACTTCACTAACTGCGAGTTAAGTATCGAATGTAGCCTACTTGGCTAATAAATTACTCCTTAAATGACTTGCTTTTGTCAAATGTAGTGGGATTATGCATACAGGAATTTTGCATATTATGCTAAGAATATTGTATTTTGCATAAATGAATAATAGTGCAATATTTTATTTGGACCATGGCGTTAAAGTGATGTAGGCTATCTATAGGCCTAAAGAAAAACAAGAACATTTACCAGGAAACCAACATTGACCATTCTTATTTTTATGAATGCGCCCTCTAATCTTTTATAGCCTATAAAAAGATTACCTACATCCCGCACTACATTTTTTCTCGTTTTCTCATGATCAAACTGGAAAACAGACGTTTATTCCAAATACAACTAAGACAACACATCACACTAAGCTATTTAAAATAATGAAAAACATAATATACACGACACTATTTGAAAAAGACTCATTTTAATGTACCTGCAAAAGAATGGACATAAAATGCAACGCCAGATTTTTGACCGTTGACTTGAAAGAACCGGTACAGCAAAACATAACCGTTCGAACAAACCGATTCATTTGAATGAATCAGATTTACCAACCTCTCCTTTCACATCAGATTAAGTCCTCCGCTTGTGGAGGATGCATCATGCAACCACTCTGCACGATAACACGATGTACTTATATAACATCAACCCTGATTTTACAGTCATCTTTAGCCCATGTCAATGAATACTTCAAAGCCAGTGTATTCATTTCTCACACAGTAGTTTTAGGTTTATCTCTACAGCCACAGCGCATTTAATGCGTCCTGGTTCGCGATGCTGTTACTCATGCATTTATGAACTCATATTCTACCCACGTTAATAGGCTATGTTTGTCATTATTCATTAGTTTACCAGTGCACTACTCTTGACTATACTAGTTTGATGTGTATTGTTGTCTGTATATACTGTACTGAACCTTGAACTTGGGGCTGAAAAGATGTAATGGTGCATTCAGTGACAGTGACTACATAAACTACTGTTCTAGTAAATTACTTTCATGACTGACCTAGCAGAATGTCACTGCACAATAAGAAACTCTAAATTTAAGAACAGTACAAAATATACAGTCATCAACTGTATCAACAAAACAGGCCAAGTGTTTACTCTGTTGTTCTGAGAGTTTGTAGTTGCCAGAGAGAGAGAGAGAGAGAGAGAGAGAGAGAGGGGTCAACAGAGACATGGATTGACATGGGTTGGTGAATGAGTGGTCTATGATTGTTTTTTTTCTTTCTTTTTCTCCACAGTACAGAATACAGGACAGGAATGCTGAGCCTTTATGATTATCCATTCTTCATAACTAAATATACACAGTCAAAAGTTTTTTAACGGTAACAGTTTTTTAATTTTTTTTTAAAGAATTCTCTTAGTCTCACCAAGCCTGCATTTATTTGGTCCAAAATACAGCAAAAGCAGTAATATTGTGAAATATTTTTACTAGGCCTATTTAAAATAACTGATTTGAATAAATTCCAAAATGTAGTAATTTATTTCTGTGATCAAAGTTAAATTTTCAGCATCATTACGACAGTCTTCAGTGTCACATGATCCTTCAGAAATCATTCTGATATGCTGATTTGCTGTTCATCATCATTGTTAGAAAACACTCTCTGTCTTTTTAAGAAATTGTTCCAGATATGCCTCACCCCTCCTCTATCTGTTTCTCTCTCTCTCTCTCTTGTATTATGTTTTAAATATCTCTTACTCATATTCGAGGTATGCATGCGCACATGTATACATTAGTTTTTCTTGGTTTAAATGCCCAAATAAGGAGATGAATGCTAGGACTATAAGGGTAAAGGAGTTCGTGAGGAACTCTGAAGAAGAGTGCCTCAGCCTTCGCTAAAAGTCTATTCCTAATATGTCCATGTTTTTCTGTACATGTGGCCATTTTATATAAACACATGTTCTTGGCCAAAGATCCTATATGTGTATGTCATTTCTATCCTTATTGGTTAAGAGGGTGAAACTCCCCTCGACATATGCCTATATAATATCTTTATATCTATGAATAAATTGAAGTATTGAGAATACATTTGACTGTGTGTTTTCTTGCTTCCCGGCCGTATTTACACTTTAAGGGACTGAGAAGATTTCAAGGCGGCAAAGAGATATCGAGGGACCAATTGTTATTTTTATTAACAATCATCAATATTTAAAACAGTTGAGTACATTTCAGGATTCTTTGATGAATTATTCAGACTTTATCTGAAATAAAAAGATTTTGTAACACATTCATATCATTCAAAAGCTTGGAGTCAGTATAATTTATTTATACTTACATTTAAGTTTAAACTTACTTTTCACTGCTGGTCATATATTCTCTATATAACCATATATGTGACAAATAAAAAAATCTTGATCTCTTTTTTTTATTATTATTTTTGGGAAAGAAATTATAGAAATTAATGATTTTAAAGGATGCTTTAAATTGATCAAAAGTGACGATAAAGACATTTATAATGTTACAAATTATTTCTATTTCAGATCAGTTCTGTTCTTCTGAACTTTCTATTCATTCAATTCAATTCAAGTTTATTTGTATAGCGCTTTTCACAATACAAATCGTTGCAAAGCAACTTTACAGCAAATTAAGTTTCTACAATATTTAGTGGTAGTTTATCAGTGGTGACTTTCAGTTAATGTACATATGGCAGAAATGTACAGAAAAATCAATTAAAGATGTAATAATGGATACAGAACTTAATAGGTTCATATAGGCTCAATATTATTCATCAAAGAAACCTGAAAAAATTGGCTATACAATGATTGCTGAAGGATCATGTGACTGGAGTAATGATTCTAAAAATTAAGCTTTGAAATCACAGGAATAAATTACATTTTAAAATATAAAAAACTGTTATTTTAAATAGTAAAAATATTTCAATATTTTACAGTTTTTGCTGTACTTTGGATCAAATAAATGCAGGCTTGGTGAGCAGAAGAGACTACAAATGCCACAAAATCGGACACTGGGCCAGAGTATGCCACAATAACAGGTCAGTGAGAGATGTCACAGAATGTTTTGACCAACCTTCATACTTTCTGGGTTCAGTTTACAATGTAAATGAACTAAAAGAGCAGTGGATGGTGCAGCTCCTAATTGGGACGACCCCTGTAAAATTCAAAATAGATACGGGGGCTGACATAAACGTTGTGGCAGAAGAGACTTTCAGCAAACTAGTCCCAGCAAAGGCACTAGAGCCAGCCAATGTTACACTGGACAGCCCTGGGGGAAAGCTAGCCTGCCTGGGTCAGTTCCGAGCCACTGCAGTGTACAAAGGACAGTCATGCCCATTTTCTGCCTATGTGGTCCGTGGATACAATGTCAATAACCTGCTGAGTCGGACTCTATCGGCTGACATGAACCTTGTAAGCAGAGTGGAGGAAGCGAACAGAATGGTCTCCCAACACTATGAGGCATTTGGTGAGGACGGCACACTCAAAACCGACCCTGTCAAAATTCAGTTGAAAGACTCAGTGCTGCCATATGGATACAGAACTTAATAGGTTCATATAGGCTCAATATTATTCATCAAAGAAAAATTGAAAATAGAAAAGAAAAAATTGGCTATACAATGATTCCTGAAGGATCATGTGACTGGAGTAATGATTCTAAAAATTAAGCTTTGAAATCACAGGAATAAATTACATTTTAAAATATAAAAAACAGTTATTTTAAATAGTAAAAATATTTCAATATTTTACCGTTTTTGCTGTACTTTGGATCAAATAAATGCAGGCTTGGTGAGCAGAAGAGACTACAAATGCCACAAAATCGGACACTGGGCCAGAGTATGCCACAATAACAGGTCAGTGAGAGATGTCACAGAATGTTTTGACCAACCTTCATACTTTCTGGGTTCAGTTTACAATGTAAATGAACTAAAAGAGCAGTGGATGGTGCAGCTCCTAATTGGGACGACCCCTGTAAAATTCAAAATAGATACGGGGGCTGACATAAACGTTGTGGCAGAAGAGACTTTCAGCAAACTAGTCCCAGCAAAGGCACTAGAGCCAGCCAATGTTACACTGGACAGCCCTGGGGGAAAGCTAGCCTGCCTGGGTCAGTTCCGAGCCACTGCAGTGTACAAAGGACAGTCATGCCCATTTTCTGCCTATGTGGTCCGTGGATACAATGTCAATAACCTGCTGAGTCGGACTCTATCGGCTGACATGAACCTTGTAAGCAGAGTGGAGGAAGCGAACAGAATGGTCTCCCAACACTATGAGGCATTTGGTGAGGACGGCACACTCAAAACCGACCCTGTCAAAATTCAGTTGAAAGACTCAGTGCTGCCATGTGCAGTACACACTGTGAGGCGTGTTCCAATACCAATGCTGCAAAAGGTGAAAGAGGAGTTGCAGAGGATAGAGGAAAATTGCGTCATAGAGCGGGTGACACAACCAACGTAATGGTGTGCACCGATGGTTCCCGTTCTGAAGAAAAACGGCAAAGCACGCATTTGCGTGGATCTCAAAAGACTAAATGAAGCAGTAAAACGAGAACATTTCGTGCTACATACAGCAGATTAGATTTTTGCTAAACTGAGCAGTGCATAAGTTTTCTCCTTAGAGTAAACTCTAAGAGTAAACTCCTTAGAGTAAACACGCAGCCAGCGGATTCTGGCAGATCCCTCCCCATCCAGATAGCTGCAGACTTACCACCTTTATCACGCCATTTGGGAGATATTGTTTCAGGAAGCTTCCCTTCGGGATCTCGAGCGCTCCAGAGATCTTCCAGAGGAAAATGCAGGAGACACTTCAAGGGCTGGAGGGGGTAGTCAACACATACTGATACAACAGAGACTGTACCAACCCAAACATGCAGGGAAACATTTCTTAATCCTAAGC